GGCCCAAACCTTACGGAAAAACCACTTTAGTCAGACTCACGGTACATGTTGGACAAGTGAAAACGTCTGTCAGTTTTTGTAAAAACAGTTGTGAGTTTGTCCAAAATTCTTGTTTCAGTAAATTCAGTGCACAGTTTCCAGCAAAACAGTGTATAATAATCCAAATTTCGTTGAATTGGCTAGAAGAAATCACACAAAACTGCCGGAGCACAGTAAACACGTCCGCCACACAACTCAGCTTCGTGCAAGTGCAATTCGTGGCACAGTGCTTGCTTCCTTTACGTGCAACATTGCTTACTTCCTTTACCCTTGTACAGTGGCAGCGCAGGCGCATCCTTCAGCTCAGAAGTTACCTCCTCCTTAATCCACACGCGTTGCACCGAGTGGTGCAGTACATTTATCAGTGCGGCCCCGTCATATTTCGACACTTCTCCCGGCACCCTCTCGGCTCCTTCGCACTTGCCGTTACGCAGCTGAGCAAGTGCACTCCGCGTCGACCTGCCCGCAAGACACATCTTCATTTTTTGTTATTGCATCCTGTGCAACGTAGGCCAATCAATCTCTGAACGCTTGTTCAAAAGACGCTCCAAATGCTTTCGCCAGATCAGCATTATGTCTGCATTCTGTGTGCAGACAGCGCTTTAAGTATCTTCCACCAGCGTCCTCAGCGTCTGCAGCCTAGGTCTATACATCGTCTTCAATGAGTCAGCGAATTTTTCGTGTTGGCGGTGTTCGGCCTAGCATTCCATATGCTCCGGTTTCTCTGCCCACTTTGCGTTAATGTGACCGAGCTCTCGAATCAGTCGCTGTCGAGGTTTGAAAAATTTACTCCTTCTCAAACTCGGCCGGGTCGTGCACATATGTTGCGAATGGCGCATTCTTCTCTGAAACTAATGTGCCACTTGTCGTACTGTTGTTTTCAAAGCAATTGGGCCGCTTACAATTTGCGCACCCGATCATTTCCTCGGCCGCCGTCGTCGCATCTTCCATAATTTGGTGTCAGTGTTGCTTACGGATGCTATGCAGTCAATATCGCAAAGGCTGCTAGCCATGGTCTACTCCGTTTCCATCCTTTTCTCAGTAGTACCTAGGGCACAACATTAATTTTTCGCCGATTTACCGCAGGCGAGCAATACATAGATTTACGAATATATATGCAAAATGTGATCCGCGCCAACTTGTGATCACTGCCACATTCAGCTCCTCGCAGTACATGTATCATGCGCTCTTCATGCCTGTCATGCTGGCCTCCGATGACAGTCGAGCAGGTGAGCGTGACCATTCCGTGGTGCATCCTATTATCATTTGTCACTCGCACCCACTGCAAACGATGTATTCGTGGTCGTCGGGTCATGATGCACAAATGGCTTCACGTCTTACCACCATTGGATTCACACGTCTGCGTGGTTGGGGACCAAAGGACGAAGAGTGCCGATGGCTTTAGACAATTCAGGATATGACTCGTAATCGAAACCAGTGAAGCATTTGTGTATATAACTGCGTAGCTTTAGATACTTAGTGCTTAACAAATAAAAATGACAGAAAATTAAAAAATGGCATGTGCAAAATAACAAGAAATGCTCGTTTTTTTCTCTTATTGTGACACAGTAGCTGAAGTGTGTTGCTCACCTTCAGTTAATGTGCCATGATGCTGATACGGTGTTCAACCTGTCTTCTTTTAGTGATTTCCATGGTTATGTTTGGCTCTATGTCCATTTGATAGACTGCTGACTATACTACTACTACTGTTGGTTCGGGCAGTTGTTCGTGTTAATACACAAGCAACCGTTAATCCTGGCGTCGATTGGTGTGTCGCGACTGCGTGGATGGAGTCCGGAGGACGATGAACACGTTTGTTGGATTCACTAATTGACATAGCAAGGAGCCGATCTCAATGGCGTTTGTGTTTTGAGTTTTTTGCCCCTGCCCATCCCGCTTATCTTCATCCTCCAACCACGATCTCTCTCTTGACGCATTAAATGTTACTAAATAGTTTTGCGTTTTTTGCATTCTTTAATACCCAGTATCTAACTTTTTTCGTATTTCTTATGTTTTACAGTACAATAGTTGAAGTGTATTTATCACCATCATCCATTGTGTTGTTGATGATGCTCGTGTTACTTAATGGACGCTGCTTGTAGTTGGTGCTCACGCTTTTTGCATCATGGCGGTTTCTTGCTTAAGGCTGAGCAGATGTTGACACTCGGTGGTGAGAGGTTTCACGGTGATACCCAGTTGGCGTTCAAGTTTGAAAATTATTCAAGTGCGGATGTCCAACTCCATGGGAGAATGGAGAACAAGAGAAATCACACATTAAAACTAATTCTTTGTAGCTGAGTGGGATTGACATTATTCACACTCCCGGTTTACAATGCCTGCATAGGTGACAAACGTCCGCATCACGTTTTGCAAACTGGGCAGTTGTATTAGACGTTGAAAGTTGAAAGTTAATCGCCCAGAGTCCCAGGCGGTTGTTTCACTGTGCGCATAAAGCCAAGATCTTTGGACTGCTAAGGGAGAATGGAGTTGATGAAACGACCGTGCTCGATGGCCCTCAGTTTCCGTATTAAAAGTCGTTATCCATAAACTCATCCTCCAACGTTCGTACCTCGAGTCGAAGTGGAAACCGAATCTAGGCTTGTAGTGAAATTCCGAGAAAGATGCTGCAATGGCACTTTTGCAGATTGCAAGCTGTCACTTATTGATGGAGCTGTTGGTCGAAAGGAGATAGACTGAACCGGATTCGAAGTGTCGCCATTGCGATTGCTCCAACTACGCCTACTGTTGCTGAAGGATTGCTTTCAAATTCTCAGTTGAAAATGGCCTCCTCATATTCGTTTCAGATCTCCGTCGCCAGTGTTATTTTCTCGGTATCCATCAATAGAACATGCTGTCAACCACGCGGAAATTGTGTGAACAAGCAACCGATGATGGAAGTTAGAGCTTCATGCAGGAAAATTCGATGAGATAGAACGTAGTACAGTAGAAAGAGAGAGCATTACAGTCCAGGATAGGATCAATGACGAACTGAAATGTAAGCAATACTAGTTGCAGTTAACGAACATAAGTGCTAACAAAAGGATGGATTCGTCTAGAGGCAGTCTTGCTAACACCTCTTGTGATTAGATATTCGCAAGATTGCTGTCGTGTATCCAACTGCATAAATACACGTTACCATCTTGTTTGATCAGTCCTTCAAGCTGTGCAATCAACAGAAATAACTGGTTGGGTGATTTCTTCGTGAGGTTTCGGGCTTAGCGGATACCGAAAAACACCCAGAATAATATCTTTAGGAAGAACAGCATCGTGGGGCGTTGATGTTTGTCAGAGACCAATGCAACTGGTTGGCATGGCGGACCCATAGTGAGAAGAATACATCCACTTCATAGGTTACCTGTTCATTGCTGTGCACAATAAGACATTGCGTTCATTTTTGGGCGTTATTACGATAACTAACACAGCTTGACCCACTTGAAATGTGCGATTCACGGCACCGTGATAGCGGTTGAATTGGTTCTCCATGCGGACATTTTGACAGATTGGCTGATGTGAGGCTGGATTAATACATCGACAATTACGCGCAGCTTTCGGTTAATCCAAGCTTCTTCCGATGAGTTTTCATTTGGAATATTGTCATTTGGCGCTGAACTACAATACATCAAGTAGGTTATGATGTTTTCCGTTATTATGCTTCAACAGCATTCGCTTAAAGCTTTGTTTTCTCTACAGAAGCATAAACCAGAATGTGCACGGTTTTGATACTAGTATTCACATGTCTTTAACCACGAGATGCCCGATGCACAACAAAGAGTCAAAGGTCACGATTCCGTATGTCATCACAAAAATCAGAGCGCGGGTTTTTTTCTAATCCCTTACTCTAAAATCTGAAGTTAGCTTCCACAAGATACCAGAACATGATGTACATTGCATAACTTTTGGCTTGCGTTTGATGAGCATCCGATCATTCAAAACGCACTTACTATGGTTGGGCCACAAAAATCCCTGCGTAACGCTTTCGAGAACGATATCGATGGCATTTGGGGAAAATTTTCAATGTCCACATGTGTCCAAGGTAAGTGAACACCTGCATACCACACTTTGGCCCACAGCTCCTTTCGTTTCTTTTTAATCCGATCTGTCACTTGTTTGTGAAGGACATGTTGAAAAATCGGCGAATGATTCCGATTAATTTGTCAGTTACCCAAACACGAATTTTGTGCTCTTATTTTTAGATACCTATGCGATAGCACGGAGTGGTTCATTTTTGACAACCATTTTATTGAACAGCTCTCCTCTTCAAGAAATATCCAGTTTATGTATTTAAAAGACTATGAAGAGATTTGCTAGGTGACTTGCTTAGCTTGGCGCTTACTATCTTCCTTAGGAGAGGTCTAGGGATAGGCCACAATAGTAGTGCTAGACCTTACCTGGTTTTGGGCACTTATAGGTTAGTAGCATCTTTGCACATCTCATTTCTTATTCTGTTGCACACTTTTTGTTTGCAATGCATACCCTTTCTCTGATCATTTTCTTAATGGTGTTATCTCTTAGTTATGGTCCTATAACTTTCCATTTGTTTTATCTGCGATGTTTGTCATGACAGCTGATTGGTTATGCAGATGGATGTGCTATGTTCCATGTGCTCTCCTCGTCTTAGCCCATTCATTGGCAAACATCCCGTGAACTGGCTCGGTTGCGAGATCGGAGATGCATGAATTCTCACAAGTGAAGGATTTCATTGCGGTGCCGCCAACTACTTGCTCATGTCAATAAGACTACTGATACGCTCCTAATTATCTTCGTTTAACATTCGGCTCCGGCTTAGGAGGCGGATGGTAAAATGACGGTTACTTGGCCTCCAGCCATTCCTTAGCTTCCTTTGACTCTGGATATAGCACTCTGACGATTTGAACCTTGCGTTGTGTACGTAATGCCCTTATTGCCATTATTCTCCCTATTGTCAACAATGGTTAAGTTTCCTCATTGTATTCTTCTCTCAGGTTTACAGTATCTCACTGTGGCTGTTTCCAGATTCGCCTACGCGGAATTCCAATTAAGCCGTGAAGAGGTCAATTTGATTCTCCATGCTCTCTTATCCGACCAGGCACCGAGCCTTCCATCCAGCCTAACGGGAACTCCACTAGATCCTCGCGTACGCGACGCGATCTCAGACCTCACCCGTCTGTTGAGACAAGTGTATCCAGCTAGTGCATTAATGAACTGTATTGCAAACGTGCTGCACCAGTGTATCAGCACTTCTGGGCGTGTAGGTGAGTTCTAATTTTAACTGTTACTGATGTACTGTAAAAGCTTTTAATTTAAACCGACGAACTTTCTTTATCACTCTGGTTCAGTTCACTAATTTTGTAGGGAATACTTCTGCCACGTCTTTGAGAATTTTACTGCGCCTAAACAAACTCCTAATACGCTTAGTCGATGTTGGTTTAGCATCTGAAGCCATCACACATGGGTCGATTTCATTGTCTTCATAGCAATGCTGAAAGCAGGTTGCACAAGTTGAGTGTTCATATCGACCACCGGTATCCGCTATCAACATTGGAGCCTAGTTCATCAAGCCAGATAGATCTCGAAAGAACGAAACGGCTTTCCGTTGATAGCGCTTTTCCTCACTCTCTGCCAACCAAAACAAACTGGTTCTAATCTGACTGGAAAAGTCTAACTTGGACGGTGTTCTGAAATTGTTACTGAAAGACGCGATAATTTGCTAAGATAACCGGTCTGTTCGGTACAGTGAGCAAGGCTGCAAACCTTCATAGTGCTGGATTGAAAGGGTGGGACACCACACTAAGTGGTCACTTAATTCTTCTCTCTCGATACTGGTATCGCTTCTGGCCACTTCACGTAGGTGTGAAACTTGTAGGGCATTTCAAGAGCTCGGCCACTTGAAAGGCAGCGAGCTGTCAGTTTATTGTAGAGCTCTGCGTTTAAAGCGCTGCAGAACGACTTATGTTAGATAACCATTCAGACCTGGCCACCGATCACTGGAACCACTGGGTGACTAGGTGCATATGGCTACTGTCCATATCTGGTGAGAACATGGAGTAAGAACTGTTGTGGTCTGGCGATTTTTTGCGTGGTAACATCCTCTTTGGCCCTTTCGGAGTATTTGTTAGACATTGATTCCATACGCTGACTGAATCATGTTTCTCGCTTGCATGCATCCTGTGTGCCTCGCCTTTTATCGTTTGTTAACACTTTACCTACTTGGCCGAAACCTCTGAGTGGCCAATTGATCGGGTGGCAAATGAAAATGCTTAAGATTGAGTCAAGCTGGCGTATTTTCACTTTAATTTATCAACCTTGATCCATGCCATTAGGTGTTGTATAACCAGTTGTCTTGACGCACTATTGACATAAATAATGATAAATCTGGCGTAGCGGACAATAATTAAAAGTGTCAGCCAGAATAGTCGTAGTTCGAAATGAGGAAGTGCATTCAAGTGCGCGACTGACCCCTTATCAGGCCATATCAACTAAGCCGTCCATCCATTGGTGTGACCGGTCCCGAGTCAAACGTTCGGTTGACTGTCCGCTCAGGAGTTTCATCCGAATAGCCCCAGTACCGAAAAACAATACACGTGAAAGAAGCTGGCTAGTAAGTTTGATAGGAGCACATGACTGAGCCGCGAAAGGTGATTCGAACTTATCGGACAATACGACGAAGCAACAGAGGGTCTGTTGATAAACGATGAAATTTTCATCCCTCCCAGCCTTCTTACACAATATGTGTAATGGTTCTCAGGCATCCGCAATGCTGTCGCGTGTTGTCTGCATGGTATTTATTCGATCTTTCTGCTATCTCAATGTCCAAACTACCTGCCTTGTATGCTACAGTTGAGAAGTCTGGAGGCTGTTGCATCTGCTTCACTGGTTCTGACTCAGTTATTCCATATTTCGATTACTTTTTTTTACTCATTACGAACCGCTTTTGCTTGCTCTTTAGCATTATTGGTAATCTTATTATTATTTTTGAATTAGAACTTCTGGATCCATCGCACCCGCTCGTGTGAACTGATCTAATTCGGGTGTAGACTGTAAATATACTCTCTACCTACACTCTTGTTGCGTATCACTCGTGGATACTGTGGCCACTTTCATTCTTGATTTTCTCCTGTGTTGTATCATTAGAAATGATCTAGATGGCGCACCGAAGCCAATGATAGCAATGCGTGGCTAGCCTTGTCTCTCCTGTTCTGGTAAGCCGCGCAGTCCATGTTAAATGACCGCTGCCACAACACCAATACATCAGCCGCTTGTACCTACTCTCCGCCACCGTGCGACTACAATTATCCTAAAGAATAAGAACATTTATGAGACGCGAAGAAGGAGATCTGACTTGAGACCCACATACCCCAAGCGTCCATTGACAGCACGCGGTCATGATCAGGCACATATCTTTTGAGGATAATGCGATTCCCGCGGATATAGCTAGCTTGCGACTTTCATCTACTCTCATCTTGGCCAGTCTTGACCTACAGATAACTCCTGAATTCGCTCCGCTGCCTTGCGGGCAGGCTATTCAGCCAAAGGCTCGGGGTGGTGTCCCCTAAGTCAACACCCTACTTCGGCTTGGGCAACCGGGTAGTATCTCGCCCTCTGAGGAAACCATGGACATTGTTGTGTTGTGTTTTATTTTACTGTTTCTGTACCTTTGTTTGAATCCCATGGTTTCTGATGGCATTATGTCTGTTAACAGACTTTTGCAAATATATATATATATACAGATAACTCAGCCCACGACACTCTTCAAGCGGGAAATCCGACAGGGATACGGTTTCAAGTGCATCACTAGTGTCGGTTTCCAGCCACGTCCTGTAAGCTCTTGGCTGAAGCACTGCAAGAGTGGCATGTACTCCCATCTAATAGGGGAAACTGGCCGACGACATGCAATCTGATGGTCTGCGATTTCATTTCTTTTTCCTTTATCAACAGATAAACAAAACTAGGCCTTCCTTAATGAGTTTTAGGGGGTGGTCCACATCAACTTCGATACATACATCCCGTCGTTTAGGCTTGTTCATTGTTCTTGTCACGAACAACTAATCGAAACAAATATGCGATTGTTTTATCTATGAAGAGTCTTCTAGTTGACCTGCGTCTATTAACATCGCTCAACCAGATGGATACGGTACTTGTTTGGTCTGTGGTAGTCCGATGCCGCATCGTGACTGCATAATCCATAGACGCGAAGCCTAAGCGGGGAATAAACCGGATCTCACGGCGTAATTGTCTTCATGTTCTCGCCACTCTTCCGCCTAGCCTGTTATCCCTCAGTGTGATAGGAATTTACAACTGGCCATCGTGAACAATATTTAATGGAGGCCCACTTATTGTCTTTGGAGGAGGCCGCACTGAACGAGGCTTTACGAGTAATCATGTTTAATGGCACGTACCTTGATTGCACAGCCCTTGCGGTCTCCCGAGATACTTAGGGTACAACCGCCACGTTTGTTCATTTATCTTGGGAAGGTGTGATCCGACCTCTCCTTTGTTACTCTCTGCGTCTTTACCTTTTTTTCGTCAGCCTGTTTACAAGAACTGATCAGCGTTTTTCCTCTTTACGGTGACACCCGTGGATCAAATCTGGGCTTCTCCGTTAAACTAGTTGTCCAGCAGATCGCCGATCCTCACGCTGCTGTCCGCCAGTCAGCTCTTGAATTTTTAAAACTGTCGTATCGACTTGTCGGACAGAGTTTTTGGGAGTTAGTTGGATATGTGAGTTCATCCGCACCCTTATAAATCGGTTTATGGCTTTATGAGAATCTTTGCGCTTTTCACATGAACACGGTTATCAAATTCTTGTTTGTTATGATTAGATTGCAGCCCATTATCTTAATTTTGATTGTCATTTGCTTCCAAGTTTCAACCGGCCTTTTCCATCACTAAAACTATCCAACGTCTATTTGAGGTTTCTCACTGCAATCATAGGCACAGAGACCTTGGAAATACACTTTGCTTCGTTCATTATCATGCTGACGCAAAGAACGGATTTATTATTACATTCGCCCCTTAAACGAATTAGCTCATCGCGGGCCTCCAGTACTTGCGCGTGTGCAGCACCACCGGGCTGCCCAGGTCTACTTTGACTAGAACTGTCGATTCCATTGAACAGATTCGTCGCTTCATCGTTTACACTGGCAGCATTTTCCAAGCACAATCGTTTATGCTCCTGCTGGCGTCCAACGTACAAAGCATACACTCGCGCACACACGGACATCATGAATTGCCTATTAAGGGAACTCTGGCGCTGAAAATCCGTGGTGTAGTGGCACAGATGTTTGACTTTCAGCCTCTGGTTCGAGCCACGCCTGCGTAGATTTTGACGTCCCTGCAGTATTCTGGCCAGCATGCGACCAAGCAAAATTGCATACCAGTGAAACATCGATGTGTAGTGCTGGTTTGCGGCTGCCACTTTCTCCATTCATTTCGCTTAACTCATCCGCAGGCAGGCAGCTTAAGTACTGGAGAATGAGACATGCCTGATCACTGTTGGCATGGCGGTCCGTTCCCACCACCTATTGTTCAATGACTTGTGTCGTCTCCTTAGGATAAAAATCATGGGTTTGAGTGCGGAAAGTCGCAATGGAGGTAGGGCTTGGATATGTTCTTCCTATTAGCTAACACTGCAACTATCTCCACGAAGTGCGAGATTTACTCCGCTATGCAATCGACGATGGCGTGGCCGAATTCTTTTGAAATCACTTCATCTTACTCTTCAGTTTAAGTGACTGTTTAGTGCGTTACACTACTTTAAGCTACTTTTACTGTTCGCCTATTATTTTAATTAGTTTTTAGCCTACACTGCTCCAGTTTGATCACTATAAATGGACATATTGTCTTATCACTATTAGTGACCTTCGTGTTTTCTGCAGTTACAACCGAAAGACAAGCAGCTGTTGGAGCAGCACTTGGGTTCCAAATGTACTCAAACTACGGAATCCACTCTCCCAGCTACTCCACTTTTACCGACGAGTCTGAGTCAAACAAATCCCACATACTCGTCGCACCTTGCGACTACTGGACCGTCGAAGTTAAGGCAAGTTTCTTCTTTAGCTTGCATTCAGTCTAGCGCCGTTGTTCGCTGTTGTAGTCTGAGCGACTTTAACGTTCGTTAACTGACCGTTTTACTGAACGTGCACCTGGTCACCTCACGCTGCATGGATATCTCAATAGTATTGCTCTATTTAAGGACCATCCGCCAGACTTCCAAACATTTTGAATTGTTTGTAAGTAGTAGGGGGATTTATATGGTTTTCGTGTAGGTTCGTCGCAGTCAGACACCGACAGACAGCCACCACACATCCAGGAAAGCGCTAGACGGCTGTTTCGTCCTATTAGGACTTGTCAGTAGCACGCACCCGCCGGATTCGAACCCACGGCTTTACTCTTGCGAGTCAGCGACTTATGTCACTGAGCCATGGGCGACGGCAGCGGACTGCCATGACTGATATCAAACTGCGATATAGCGCGGCTCATCCTCCACTGTTTTGCATGTTATGAATGTGCAGAGGACGGGGCTGACCCCCAGAGCAACGACTTCCTTTGCAAACCGCCACCAATCGAGGTTGCATGTAAGCTGGTAAGGCGACTATTGATTATTTGTGAGTAGTAGGGGGATTTATATGGTTTTCGTGTAGGTTCGTCGTAGTTAGACACAGGCAGGCAGGATTCGGCGGGTGCGTCCTACTGACGAGTCCCAATAGGACGAAACGGCCGTCTACCGCTTTCCTAGATGTGTGGTGGCTGCCTGCCTGTCTAACTGCGACGAACCTACACGAAAACCAAATAAATCCCCCTACTACTCACAAATAATCAATAGTCGCCTTAGCAGCTTACATGCCACCTCGATTGGTGGCGGTTTGCAAAGGAAGTCGTTGCTCTGGGGGCCAGCCCCGTCCTCTGCACATTCATAACATGCAAGACAGTGTAAGATGAGCCGCGCCATATCGCAGTTAGATATCAGTCATGGCAGTCCGCTGCCGTCGCCCATGGCTCAGTGGCATAAGTAGTGAGCAAGCAAGAGTAAGATTGTGGGTTATAATCTGGCAGGATTCGGCGGGTGCGCGCTACTGACGAGTCCCAATAGGACGAAACGGCTCTCTAACGCTTTTCTGGGTGTGTGGTGGCTGTCTGTCGGTCTAACTGCGACGAACCTACACGAAAATTTTGAATTGTGTTGCGTTGTGTGATTTTTGCCATCCACGTGTGAGGCTTTGCCTCAGGATTCAAAAGTGTCTTTGCCGACACACCACTGCGGTCGTGTTGCTGGCTTCATTAACCTGTTACTTTGCATCACGACTGATGGTAGTGTTTGAGATGAAGTCTCGCAACGTATTCCTTAAGGTGCCTTGAATTCATGAACCTTAGGCAACAGTGGTGTCGTTGTGATGCTAATATTACTCCCAAAGGCAAGATGTATGGTGTCTCCGTCTGTTGTTCAGCGGTGAAACTTGATGTCCAATAGAAGCTAAAATCTTCTACGTAAACCCCCAATAGTGTGCAACTGAGGCATCAAGTCAGGAGCATTCAAATTTTTCATCTGATGCGTGCTCCTGCCTCTTTGGTCAAATCGGATTTAAGCTATTAGGTTTAATAGCTGGCATTGCTGTTCCAGAATCTATAAGTAGTAAATCTGTCGACTATGCGAGATACAGTCCAACTAGTTGGTTTGGTTATTTGGTACAACAGGATCACAAAGGTTAGATGTTTCCAAAACAGTACCCATTAAGTTTCGGGGTGTTCGAAAGTCATCATCATCATACACGTTAGCTAGAGGTGGGGAACACTTCAGCTGCTGTGCCGCAATACACAGAAAAAAGGAGCGCAAAAAGAATGCAACTGGTGCAAGCCGGCTGAGCTACCGGTAACGGATGGGCATCGTTCCGGTAAGCTACCATCCGATTACTGTGCACCAAAAAAATTACTATGCAAAATTATATGAGGCTAAATAATAAGATCGTGGTTAAAGGTGGAGGCTAAGGGGGATGAGGTGGGACAAAGAAACTGAGGTCGACTCCTTGCCATGTCAGCAAGTGTGTCCAACCAAACGTGTTCATCGTCTTTCGGACCTCAACCAGGGAGCCGTGATGCTCCAACCGAGGCCAGCTCAAAAGGGAGGGCCTTCATTCCTCTCGACCAAGTCATCGCTTGACCACCTCTCCTCTTCTTCCATCCACATCCCCGATGAGCAAACAATGCACGTCGTGGAACTCGATGGGCTGGCATGCGCAACACGTGGCCTGATGCGTGAAATATCGGTGCTGAGCGGTTCAGATCCTTTTACTGTGTCGTAAACAAGACGTCGAACACGCTCGTTGCTCACGCGGTGTTCCCACCAGATGTGAGCTAAATTGCGAAGGCACCGGTGGTCGAACGTAACTAGCCTCTTCAGGTCTGCTGCTTTAAGCGGCCAGGTTTCACAACCGTACAGTAGGGTCGAACGTACTGCTGCATTGTACACTCTACCCTTCAGGGCAACGGTGATGTCGCGCCGCCTTCATAGGTGGTGAAAGTTAGCAAAAGTACTTCGAGCTTTTGCTATACGGTTCGTGATCTCGTCTTCGATCCCAAGGGCGCTGCTACAACTTCCCAGGTAGTTGAATTTTTGAACGACTTCTAGCTGGTCCCCACCAAGGGTCAGTGTAGGAGGCGGTCCAGACCAATCTTGTAGGAACGCTTTGCACTTCGAGGGTGCGAAGCAAAGCCCGAAGTGACGGACAGCTAGTGCTAATCTGTCCAGTGCCGCTTGACACTTTTGTGAGCTGTCGCAGATGAAGGCAATATCTTCAGCATACTCTAAGTCGAGAAGTCGTTCTCCTGGGAGCAGATCCACACCTTCTAAGTCGTGTCCTGTGAACGCGATATCCATGACTTCGTCAATAGCGAAGTTGAAGAGGAAAGGTGACAGCGGGCATCCTTGTCTCACGCCGCTGGAGATACTAAAGGGCGACGACAACTTGCCGTAAGCCCTCACTCTGCCTGAGCTACGCGCATATAATGCTCGGATAATATTCACATATTTCTCAGGTACACCTTTTCTGAGTAGACACTCCCAAAGTGTGTCTCTCCACCGAAACGAATGCACCTTTGATATCGAGGAACACGACTACGGTGGGCCGCCAAGATGTGTGACGGTGCTCCAACAACCGATGCAAGGTGAAGATGTGGTCAATGCAGCCACGACCTCGACGAATTTCAGCTTACTCTTCACGAATCTAACTTTCACAACTGCCAATCAGTCTGTGAAGGATTATGGAGGCAAGCAATTTGGAGGCGATGGAGATCAGACTGATTCCTCTATGGCTGCCGTATTCCGATCGTGAGCCTCCTTTGAAAATTGGGACTATGACGGAGCGGCTCCAACCGGTTGGGACAGTTTCCTGCCCCCACAGTTTCACTAGTAACTCGTGTAAATCACCCATAAGAGCAGGTCCCCCGAATTTGAGGAGGGCTGGAGGAAGATCATTAGGTCCCGCGGCTTTATTTAACTTCAACAGTTCGATCTCACGTTCGACTTCTGAACGAGATGGCGGATCTAAAGGGACAGCCCAGGGAGCGGGGCGATCAGTGGCCGGCGAGTAATCTAACAATTCTGACCGATTAAATTGCTTTTCAAAGTGCTCCGCCCAACGCTCCTAGCGTTTTACTAAGTTGTGGATATGCTGTCCACTCTTGTCACGTATAGTTTCACTAACACCAGGTCTCCTGTTGCCGGTTTCCCTTATCAGACGGAATACCTTTCGATGGTTACCAAGAGCAGCGGCTATTTTCATCGCTGTCAAACGATGAAACCACTAGGATTCGTGGTCTCTTTTCAGGCTAGCACGGAGTTTCCCCGGAGCTCTTTGCGTTTTTCGTTGTGTTAGCTTCCAGCCGGAATTTGCTGGCGAGCATCGATAAGTTCTAGAGACTGTCAAAGAGACCCAATGTCCTTGTTGGTGATTAGACATACCACATGAGGATTTGCCTGCTGCTAGTAAGGTCTGGTGAATATGAGACCATTGGCCTTCAATTGCATCCAGTGAGCGTTTATCCACCTCGCATGACAGCGTACTTTGACAGGCATTCAGAACAGCTGGCTTCGCCAGTTGGCTGGTGTCAATGCGATCACAGCGTCGACGTGGGCATCCTCCAAAGCGCATCCGCGGGTCAGCACATACAGGGGCATGATGGGTGTCAACACCTGTGCTCCAAATCGAGCGACGGGTCTGGACGCAGCCTCTCCATCGGTAACTTGTCGCCATGTGATCGATCTGCGTCGAAGGCTGATTCGAGGCTGGTGAGCGCCAAGTCACACTCCGGCGGGTGCTGTGTCGGAAGTTAGTGCTCGCAAGAAATAAGCGAGCATCTTCACACAAATGAAGTAACCGCTCACCGTTATCATTACGGGAGCCTACACCGTGCTGACCGCCCAGATGCATTTCATCAGTGGACAACTTTCCAACTTGCGCGTTCAGATCCCCAGCCAGCACAACAGTGTCCGTGCTTCTTCTGTGGCGAAGGAGCTGGGTCAGTTGGTGGTAGAAGTCGTTCTTTACCGAATCATCGCTACAGTTTGTGGGCGCGTATGCAGCGATGATGAATGGACACCTGTTAGTGACGCGCGACTTCGAAGCTTTGAAGGAGCCAGCCAATCGGACCGCACACATCCGGTTACTGATTGGGGTCCAATCAACCAGAGTAGCTTCAGCCCAACGGTTCAGGGTAATACCAACACCGGCTTGGCCGGTGCTCGAAGCTGCATCGTCATCGGATAGGCGTGTTGAGAAGGTGCTACTAGTGTCACCTGGAGGGGATCGCAGATTGAGTACAGAGCTCGAGTCTTGCAGCGGGTCTCCGATAAGCAGTAGATATCGATCGAGAGGCTCTCTAATGTTCGGGCAAGTGCTGCCTGTTGACCGATCAAGAGAGAGACGGCGAATTGGAGAGCAGAATGAAAAGGGTTATGGCAAAACGCTACAAAGAAGCATTACGGATATCAGTCGAACCGTTTCCTGACAACCTGATTTAATGTGGGAACCATGCTAACTGTAATTTAGTGCAATGTGATGTATTTTGGTCCATCACTGGCCAGCTACCGGAGGACGTCAATTAGCACTTCTGCGCTTACTGTGTCTTAAGTCGATGTTATTAAGAAACAGCTCGTGCTCCACCTATAGCTGTAACAGACGCTCGCCGCTGTCCATACCGTCGGAGTTAGTCCATAATTACCACTTAGCTGAGCTTCTGAGTAGCTCGGATGACATACTTGCGCATAATATTCTCGGCAAAAACGACGATATCTAACCTTTTAACCTCAAAACAGCGTGTTCAGTTCGTGCTAGAATATGTCCTTGACAGCATTAGAACTGTAGTCGTCAACAGGAAACAACCATCATCTATTACTTCGTAAATCAAGCTTAGTTGATGTCGTCAAACGGGCTGCGCACAAACGGCTGCTCGCGGGAATCCAGTCAACCAGCGATGACTTGGCTTTGGGTCCAAGATGAATACCCCTTAGTTTGACTAGCGGTTGCCGCATCGGCTTCTTCGGATGCGTACAACCAAAATCCAGAGTAGAAGCCGGGTGCAGTTAATTTAACAAATCCATGAGGTTCATTGACCGTTGCTTCGGTCATACAGCACACGTCAATACCAAGTGTGTTTAACTTGTGTGCGGGTGCTGACTATTGACATGTTAGTCTTAGAATGCAGACTTTGAATTCCGCTGACGAAACTGGACAGCCTGACCTTATAACGGCCGTTGGCGATCGGTATTCAGTTGGGTGGTGCGGGAAGGTAGCGGCATATGGTATGACTCCGGTATCATTGCTGCTGCTGTCAATATAGCTTGGAATTGTAGTAGGAAGGCTAGTAGTGGGGGTTGAGATGAGAGTAGGTGAAATAGGTGGTAAAGAAAGAAGGGAGATATTCGCAGTTGAAGGTTTTTCGCTTATCCTTACTGTTGTATGCCTCAGATAAATCGACCTTTGATAAGTTGCGCTCCAAGCCCTGTGCGCATGACAGCGGATGTGGCAACGATTCGGCTTTACAGAAATGGACAGCATCACTTTTCCACCCCTCAGCATTTATGACCAGGAAGCTAACTATTGACCAACCTAGTAGGAGTAACTCCAACGATCAAGGAGCTCACTCAGTATGGCTCAATGGGTCGAAGTGCTACACTAACCGTCGTACCAGTAAACGTCCAGTAGCGTTGTGGGTCACTTGTTTCCTGGAGTGTCAAGCTTGTGAATGTGGATGACTAGGTGACTGACGCGTTGAGGGCGATCTACGCAGTGTAGCGCAAGCTTGTATGCTACTTTTCGATCGTGTAGCGGCCAGGGGGTAAGCTTAGGTTCCAAATGTATCGCAGTACATCCCAGGCGGATTTCAGGCACTGCGACCTTTGAGTGGAAACAATTTGCATAGCTTCCTTGTACCATAACCATATGAGTTGAATGAAGCTTGTGATGGGTTACTAGCATGTGTAGCAACACTTCGCAGGCGGTACGAAACTTCGTGACCGAATACTCTAAGCTCGCAATCTCTGCTTCCATAAGGTTATTTTCCGACACCGTTTACATTGACTTGGCCACGTACTATGCTTGGTAGCCTATCAGCTGCCTCGTCACGCATCGTTTACCTTCTGTTCATGCATCTAGTGTTTTTTTGAAGTGGACAGCTGATAATGTTTAACGTTTAGCATCAGTTCCGTCTGTCTGTTTCCTAAGTTGTAATTCGCGTGACATCGATTCTTACCACAGAAACCACTGACGTCAGTGTGTGCTTGTAGTCAAAAGACAACTAATACTCGAAACGGTATGCGTGAGATAAAATGCAATCTCCTTCAGTTGATCCTTGCATTTCATCTGTGGTTCTGACGGCACATTTGCTTGTATTCAAACATTTCTGTACCGGTTTTTCTAGTGAGGGATTGAATAAGTTTATCATGGCTGGCATATCAACTGCTTCAGGCAGTGGACGATGGGTTGAGGCGTCTGCCTTATGACCGGTACGGATCTAAGTAGTTGCAAGGGACCTTAGGCTACCGTTGACCTCTGATTGATGCATGTCAACTTTTTCCGCGGCACAGTAACCGGCTGCTATCTCTCCGGAACGATGTCCATCTGTTACTGGTGGCTCATATATTGTTTCAGAATAACTGAGGTGTTTTCCCCCTCCAGCTATCGTATAATAATAATGATGATCCTCTATCGGTCTCATTTTCTTCGCTTATTAGTGGGCTGATGCCTTACTCTTCATCTAGTATTCTGGCGCTTGATTGGACCGACTACGTATACAGGCTAGAACTTTGTACGACGTGTCTTTATCAAAATGTCTATTGGATCTCATTCGGTCCTCCATTCTAACATTCTATTTTTCATATCCGACTATCTCCCGATACCTTTTTCATTTTTCGTTTTGTTTAATTGTCACTTTTTCTTGTTATTTGGATTCTTGTTGAGGCAACTAGACCCATCACCCGTTAGATCATTCTCGGCTAGTTGTTTCTCCCCATTGGCGATCTTGAAAGTAAGCGGTCTTTACCATTTTCCCATAAGCGCTCAAGAATCCACTGGCAAGACTTATTTCTCGATGACTGTTCCTCCAAACAAACGCCAGTCCTTTCGGCCCCGTTGTTAACTCGTGTTTTCGTTCCTCTAAACTGTTAGACATTTTAAGGAGCACCCCTCATTCATTGTTAGCCTCCCCTTTCGTGTGCAGCTCCGTATCGATTCAAATGCTAACACATTTCCTAATCTCAGTGTGCTTTTACCCACCGAACTCGCAAGGATCATTAGTCTACAGTGCTACTAATATTACACACGAAGCCACCCCCTCTTCCATTAGTGGTTAAAGGTGCAGAAGACTACCTTCGGCATAATCCCCGATTTGCCCTCCAACATTGGTTTGATTTTGTCATTTGGGCCTTTCTCTGTAGCCAAATGCGCTTCTTTAGGTTTACAGTATACTCTTTTTGAGTTGATCATTTTTCGGTGAAAACGGTCACTTGACAGCTTATGCAGTGTGTTCAGCTCAATGGTGCTCGATGCATGGTTGATTGCTTGCGAATTCTGCTCCCGTTTTTCCTTTCTGGCTTAGCTGCAATCTCAAACATGTTTCCGTTGTTTTTTTCGCCTTAAGTTCACGTCGAGGACACAGTCCACCTCCGAAACATGCATCACCGGCAGCTTTGGCAATCCTGATACCGCTTATACATGAGCGGAACAATGTCGATGCTAGCGCAGCAAGTAGAGCACTTGCAGCCCAGCAATTGGACTCCGCCCTATCCTCTTTGGTCAGTCAGCTTGACGTGGTTGGCCTTCGTGCCTCGAAGGACTCTCAACCAGAAATTGAAGATGAAACCGCAGTACTCGACAATGTTATTCTTGGTGCACTGGTCGACCTAGAAGCGCTTGTCTTGGGTAGGCTTTCTTTTTGCTGCACTCTTGATCACGCTGGCTCCCCTGGTTTTAGCTTTGCACTCCGGCATTTTTTTCGTTTTTGTCCTCCTTTTCTATTAACCAAGTCGTTTCACAAGCACACCTACTCGAGCCTAAGGCGGCGTTCTTTTCCAAACTCGGATTGTTAGCGCTTATGCTATGTGCCCAGATAGTCTGTGTTCTTGTTTTATCCATTCAATCTTTTGTCCATACTTCTCGTTTAGCATTCCAGCGCGTCCACCTACTGTTGAGTGGCCCTCTACGAATCAAAAGCATCTGGGTTCCAATCAAAATCTCACATCTGCACAGAGCACTACATTTTACTTAACACAATTTTGAACTCAAATTTAATTTTGGGCTTATTCAGCTATCACTGCCTTAAGGTCATTGACAGGCATACACGAACTCAGCATAGGGGTGGCGATCACACCTAACATCCTAGTGGTCCCGTGTTCGATGCCTTCTATTTCTATCTGGTGAGATCAAATAAGGTCGAAATGCGTTCAGGAGTGCCTGTTTTCCAGCAGGAAACACCAAATATCTACCCGCTTCATCGGTTACGGTCCCTGTGATCGATTTGACCAAGGTTCACTTTAATGGGAATCGCGTTCCACATTGAGACTGCGCGTTGCAATCCATTCACACTACGTGTACTTCAAAATTATCCTCCAGTCAGCTTAGGGTTATTAAATCGCATTCGCCTCATTGGTGAGGTGACGTCACACCTGTCTCCTCTAAATGGCTAACCTGCCTCTACACCCAACCTGGCCTAACGTGATCAGTGGACTGTTTGCACTTATTTTTGGTCCACATCAGTATTGAATTCAACTAAAAAGTTTATTTCTCGAGGTACCGAGAAACCGTGTTCACAAAAGACGGATCGTGCTTACATGTACAACATGCTTACGCATGCAGGGCTGTCAGTGGTCAGTGTCTATGCTGGAATGCAATAGCGACTTTTATGTGAATATCTTCCATCTGGGCTTTCAGTACCAGTTCACAGACGTTCGCAGCTGTTTGGTCCCGGTGCAATTCGGGGAACCATGATGACAGCGATTTCATGAAGGGACGAAACGATTGGAGCCGTCAACCAATATCCGATGAGTAGTACACATTCATGTACAAAGGCTAGCATAATAGGTTAAAGTAGTACGTGGCGGGTTATTTGTGAGTTGCAAACATCCTATGCATGGAGCAAGGAACAATGATTTATAATATGCCAAACTGCGGTTGCTAGACAAGTTCCATAGATTGACCGTGTGGGGATTATAAAATGATTATGTAAATTGATGGGAAAAAGGGAAAATTCTGGTTCGAAGGGATTCAACGAGTTATTCACATGAGCACGTGCTGGTCTGCTCACTGCTACGTAACGGACAGGGCTGGTGTGCACATCGTTAGCGTTGATTCGTCATTCGGTGTAAACAGACTATCGCGTAATTCAAATGGGATAGAGTGTGGTCAAATCATTTCTTAAAATGCGTTAATTTGGGGAGGGGATGATGTGAGATGGAAGAGCGTTCCAGGTTCTGGATACCGGAAGGGAGAAAAGTCTAGTCGGCAATCAAGTCCACTGTAGTGTATGGTCAGTTTGACCTGGTAATCCCTAAGCTTGGTGTTGTGGCTGACTTGCAATACGTCGCAACAGGCATGATTGGCGCTAGTCAGTAATTGGTATACCACGATAAAATCTCCTCACAGGAGCCGGTATTCGCCGCTGTGCAAGCCTAAGACTTGCAGTCTGCGTTGTTAGGAGAGGTAAAACAGTCATCTAACCATTTTCCTCTCCCCACATTGTGAAGCTTTGAGCGTAGCAGCATCTTATTTGTGCCAAAGTCTCCAGGCCTGGAACTCGTATTCCACGTTTGGCCTCATGTAAGCGTTCAGCATTTGTGGAAAAACTGATGATTCGAACTTACCGAGCGCCCTTCATAGGACGCCGAGGTGCTGGCTGACTCTTAATGCCTTCTCGGCCGGTTTCGAGCAGTTTCAGCCCGGGGACTCAGGGCTTTACCAAAACCGGCCTGGCCGTTACTCGAAGCTGCATCGTCACCAGAGAGGTGCAATGAGGAAGCACTGCTGGTGTCATCTGAAGAGGATCACAGACCGTGTACAGTGCTCAAGTCCTGCATGTGGGTTTCCGATAAGCAGCAATAATTGGTCGAGTGGGTCTCTAGTGTTCGGAAAAGTGCTGTCTATTGGCCGATTTTTACTACTGCGCGTACGTTGAGACGTGCCAGTCTAAAGGATAATCGAGGTATCTAAACTTAAACCCGATGAATTTGCTTTGACTGCTTGGTTAGATATGGGCTTGTCTATGGGGTAGAAGTGTGGCTCCGCGTTTGCACGTTCGTCGCAAATAAAAGCTAACCGCCTATCAAAACAAGGTTGAAAAATCCGAGAATTGGGAGGTTGAAATGGAGGGGATAAAAGCGAAGTTGGAACTGGACGACAAGAATGAGAAATTATAAGAAAGGAATAAGAAGACGGGAAGGCTTGAGAAGTAGCATCCAAACCTCTGTCCACTCTGTTCGATGCAGTAGATAGGACGCGGTTATTTCTCCTCTGTGGTGGCCAGAGAATCAAGTAATGGTTTGAAGGCGAACTCAGTTGTGTTACGTGGGCACGATACTGTCAGGTTTCCCAGGCTTAGACGGTAGAACGATTCGGATTCTCATTCAAAGCCTTTGGTTCAAAAAGCTGACAACTAGGCAGGGGGTTTGGCAGCGGAATACAAGGAGTCCTTTCTAAGGAATAAGGAGCCACTCTCATTTCAACCCCCAACCTGGAGGACCAAGATACTGGGTTTGTCTGGCCTCGAGCCATTGACCAATTTGGAATGTTTGATTTTGAAGGTGCAAAAGTACCACCCAGCACCGTACAATGGATCCCTGAGTCGCGCAAACTATCGCACCACGGTAAGGCCCAGCCTCATTGCGACGGATAGCATAGCATAGGTCTCACAATTAGCCTAAACATTTCTACTCATACTTCGGGTAGAAGAAAGTACTTCATTATATAGGCTTTTAGTTGTCTTTCCTTTGCTATCTGGTATAGGGCATGTTTGAAAAAGTTGAAAGAGGTGGAACTGATCACCCAAAAGTCCCTTAATATATGGTAGTTTGAAATGTTCGTACCAACAAGAGTGGTAGAGCCATCAAGCATGCAGCATCCATAACCAAGCACTTGCAATTTTTCAGCGAAAAATTTCATGGACCATGTTTTACTCCACGAATTTAGCTCGGATAATCCGCACATATATTTCTGAGGTCCATTTTCAGACTACTGCATGGAAATGTTTAAACAACTTTAATATCATCGACATATAGGTATGCTCGCCCGTCTTTCATGGAATCACGTATGTTATTTTTGATACCTTAGTTTTTAATCTCACTCTTTACCCACGGAAACTGTTAAGCGTTTGCTTGTATGTCCGTGATAAATACATGGTTATTTATATTGATCGGGAAGAGTAGTGGTCCAAGCACACTTTCTTAGACGGCTGCACGTGTAACTTCATTTGGAGCGGATAGGTGCTGGCCGACTATAACTCTTTGTATCCGGTCTCCTAACTACTGTTTGAACCCCCTTATCAATTGCTTGTTGATTCCGTAGGAGTTCAGGACGAACAGCAATTATTTTTATGGCAAACGATCGTAGGCCTTTTTCCTGTCTAGTGGGATGACGATTAACTGTCATGCCACTGCAAACGACGGATGTTACATGGTCATGGAATTGTATTTGAAATATGTCCACATATGTTACGTTGGATCACTTTTTCCAAAGCCATGTTGCTTGCTATTTATCAGGTTTACACTTTTTAGGACTTGAATTGACCATTCTTTACTATTCTCTCCAAAGCCTATGAAGCGGCCGCAGTATGATCAATTGGGCGGTAATTCGGCACTGCAGTCTTCGGGCCGCCTTCGTACATTGATGCTATCATCGATTTTTCCACTGTGGGACGAATTATCCAGTCTCCAGCGACATTGTTAAGATGCTTAACATCAGTAAAGGTCTATTTTTGACCGCTACGATATGGTTGGCGCCATCCGGTTTCAGATTTACCTGTCACTGTGGCCAGCCACAGGACGCCTGCGCCTACAGAGGGACCATGGGTGGCTTGCGCTGCACCACCCACAGCTTCAACCACACATCCCATATCCGGTGTAAACCAGAAGGAATAAGACCGGGACGCATGTGGATGGAAGCCACGTTTCATCAACGGAGCCGGCCCACACTCCTTCATAGGCAAACACAAGCACGCTGTAGTTGGGGAATCTAGCGCACACAAGGCGGTGGCTGGACCGTAGTCCGCTCCACACTGAGTGCATGGAACCGCTCTTTGAGCCTAGCATGGCCATAAGGACCGTGCACCCCGTCCCCTCCAGCAACGACCAACTGTCTCCTGGAGCCAGATGGGCGAGGTAGTGGGTAATAGACAGGTAGGCACCTTGTCAACATGCACGTCAAGCGCAGCCATACCGGGGATTTCAAGCAACAGCCATTCAGTTTAAACGACAAGCTGAAGTAAAATAAATCCAATAATGCATACAGATACGGTGGCATAACTCTTCCCTAAATTACCATATGAAGTAAGTTTGTTAGCAATGAGTCCGCGATAAGTAAGAAATGTCCACAAGTTACTTAAAAATGCTAAAGAAGCAACAAAATTGCCGGAGATAAGCGCAATTAACGTAAGCAACGTGGCCAGTTAATCGAACATTATGCAGGTAGGCAGAACAAACAAAAAATAAAGTGGTATGAAATGTGTCCAGCTTAAAAAGACCAAGTTTAAGTGTAAGTTGGTTTAGCCCAACTGCGATGAAGAAGCATCAAGAATGCAACATCAGCCTCAGTATCGGGCACACCGCTACGATATATATATATATATATATATATATATATATATATATATATATATATATATATATATAATCAGCAGTCTAAACAATATATATCAAGCCATCGAGAAACCATGGTATGTGTATAACGAGTACAAAGAGCACAAAATGGAAAATACACAGGGATTTTGTGTGCCTTTCACCCGCCGTTTTTGTCAGTCTAGATTTTACGGTGTTGGTCATTAGAATCAACGCAAAACTTTCACTTTCCTCGATTACGCACCATGTCCTCAAGTCTCCCCGATCGGCGATGCACTTCATCTCTGGCTCCCCAGCCCGGAAGAAGCACGGGGCCAAGAACGGCTAGGCTGGAAGTTAGCACCTTTACGTTTTGTCGCCAGATAATAGGTTGGCCACCGCGCGATTTTTTCCACTGCAGCCTCTGTGCGAGCAAGTAGAGCGTCGTGCCAAACGCTCCCACGGCATGCGTGGGACGCGACTTATCCACCTCAGTTGGCGCAGCGATATTAGAATGTCGACAGGTAGGCGACGTCTAACATTAACGTTGCAGAAGTGGTGTTCGCACTACACACGAGCCATCCTGCGCAGACAACCTATTGTCAGGAACCGAAATCCGGCGCCAATCATTTACATGGGACTCGCATCCATACACCAAAGCCACTCCAACCCAGGTATTGTAGACCCTGCCCTTTACCGAGAGTGAGACGTCACGACAACGCCACAGATGCCTCAGATCAGCGCAAGCTGGTCGAGCTTTGGCAATACGGAGAGAAATCTCTATAGTCCAGGTCACTCGTCTGGTTGCCTGGAGGAAGTTCTACGCCAGGACTCTAGAGATCATCCAGGGCGCTTAATACGACATCTTCAATCGCAAAATTGAAGAGAAACGGGGGCGTGGGACATCCCTGTCGCTCACCGCTAATGACGGCGAAAACTTATGAGAGCGTACTGTCAACCCTCACTCTGCCAGAGACATTGTTGAATGAAGCTCAAAGTATAGTGGTATACTTTTCGGGAACCCCATTACTTTGCTGACAACGCCATCGAGCAGGTCGGTCGACGGCGACGAGCAGAGCTGTGATGTCCAAAAAGGTGGCAGTGGTAGAATGGCGATATAGGCGGTGCTGTTTGAGTAGTTGGCGGAGCGTAAACATCTGGTCCACACACCCTCGATCGGGTTATTCCTCACGTGAAAGTAGTTCTCGAATCAGTGTTAGCCTGCGCAGCAGAATGGATGTTAGAAATTTGGACGCGATGGATTTTACGCCCATTCCTCTGTGGTTGGCGTATGAGGTACGATCACCCTTTTTGAATATGGATACTAGACTTGTTAACTGGTCGATAGTCGCTTCGCCACTGTTCTTGATCAGCTCCGGTGGAAGTCCGTCCGAGCCGGCAGCTTTGAGTTGCATAAAATGACCAGGCTCAAGACAGACCTCCGCTTCGGTGGGTTGTTCCAATGAAATGTTTCAAGGCGCACAAGTCAGCCTGCTTGTTAGACAGGAGGATGGAGGCCGCCAACTGAATTGAGAGTGGAAGTGTTCAACCCAGCGCTCCATGCGCGGAACGCAAATTAGTGTTTGGTGTTCCATCAACCTCGCACATAGCTTCACTGACGCCAGGTCTTCTGTGGCCAGTGGTTCAAATGATTTCGAAAAGCTTGCGAAAATTTCTAAAAATCTGCTGTCTTCATCTACGAGGCACGCTGAGATCACAAAGTCTCGTGATTGTTGCGAAGGCTTTGCGTGAGTTGTTGGCTGAGATTGCGGTGGACTTCATCGTAGCCGGAATCAGCTGGGATAGCTCGGCGGCAGTTAAACAGTTCCGATCAGCGAGTAGAGATCCGGCCTCAGGACTCCATGCGGTTCCACAGTATGATTGACCGGAAGAAAGCAACGCCTACTGCAAGAAATTCCCGTGGTGTTGGACATCTGTAGATGGAGCATGAAGGAGCGCGTCTGATAAGCCATTAGTATGGATGAGTTAGCTAACCTGTTGGTATCCAGCGTACGGTGCTTTGGTTTCGAGGAAACACCAAAGCGCATACAAATGTCTGCACAGACCGGAGCGTAATCTGAGTCGAGGTAGTTTGACCAAATCGATCTGCAATCCCATTTACTGCCCTACCATCTGAATCTGATTGCAATATGTTCAATTTATGACCATGATTGTGTTGGCGAAAGGGGACGCCAGGTGCGGCGCGTCTTCTCGAATGCTGTTCGCAATCGCATCCGCTGATAATTGCTGCTTTTCACTGGTTGGTCCTGCTTGAACTGCAAAACGCTGAGGGATATTTTCGCGCACTCGTGTCTGGCTTTCTTCAAATTGCTTCTGTTGATGAAGTATTGCGGTAAGTTGCTCCACTGAAAACGACATAGATCGTCTTATTTTCGTCGTATCCAATCAAACAGTTACCTCCGTCGCCAGATGTTAAGCTAGACGAAAACAGAAAAACAGAGTTGTGTAATAAGATGGTTATTTGCGTAACATTCAGTCTCAAAAATACGTGCGACGCGCTCTAGGTCGCATGAAAACGGAATCCAAATTATCACTAAATAATTAGGGCAGACGGACGCACGCGTTTAACGTCCAGTCATGCACATCATTTGGGTACACTGATCCATTCGTAAGCAGCTGCCGCTCCTGACAATATCCCTAGTGTGGATGCTAATAAGTAGGTACTGTTGTTAAAATTGTTTATATTTTCATTGTTGGCTATAGTTAGATCATGGGTTGCGAAGAATGTACCCAATTTCTTGTTGTCAAAATTGACCTAGTTGCTCAGATGTGTGCGACGGACAGACTTGAATGTCACTCTCAGTTTGTTTACTATTTAGACATTCATGCTGCGGAGCGCAGTGTTGTGGTCCTAACCGTTTCGGGAGTTGTCATTAGCTACCGAAACTATCGGAATACTCATGGTGAATATCAGATCCAATGTGTTTACTTTTTTATGGGCTTTTCAAAATTTTGAGTCCAACCCTTATTTAGAATGCTATGGGTTATCCTCACTAGATCCCCGGTCACTGCTTGTGTGGGGTTCGTCTAGTCAAATTGTGTCAGACTGAAATATCTACATAAGGTTTGTCTTTGTACAGGATATTAAGAGCAGCGTTAATTGCCTCAACGGCCAAAACGGTGATGCTGTTGGTCTGGTGGGATCGCCCCGGTGTCATCAATAGGAAACTGCTACCTGCCAATTCCACGGTGACCACAGATGTCTGCCATCTAGAAATGCTAAAGGTGGTCGATGAACACCGAAAAGGGGTCCAAAACGCATGATTCCTTGAATGACAACGCACATCCTCACGGGCAGCGGTGATCCGTCTCAAGATTCGGCATCGAAGCTCTTATGCAGTTAGCATATGACCCGGATCTTGCTTTTACTGACTACTACTCTTTCCGCTGTCACAACGGAGACAAGAAATTCGATGATACGACCCCATCGAGAGGTATTTTGCCCAGTACGTTAACAGCCAGCCAGCTTGTTTAAAATAAATATTGATGCAAACGATATCCTGCAGATTTCAGTTGACTTCCCGGCAACTCGGTAGTTGATGGCGGTGCTATTTTATTAGACAGTCACGGTCCTAGAATTTTCGAGCTTTCCGTCCCTGGATGCTCTATCCTTTTTGTTCGTGTGCCACCAGTTTTTTTGCAAGAACTATGAGATGGGAGTGTAGCCAGTCGATTTTCTAACACTTATCCTACAGCCGGGTTTAATTTCGCTTTTAAAATCACGAAAGCGCTTACTTCTCCTTTGCTCCTTTATCATCTCATACCGAGAGTCTGGTGTGTGTCGTAATGGTGTCTTTGAAGGCTGGGCATTATCAAATTGAGCTGTAGGAAAGAGATGCTCGGTTTTTTTGATTTACTCTTTAATGTGGCGAGATGAATTCATAATATGCTTTGCCGAGGGATGATTCCTTGTTGTGTCCTACGGCCGTAGTATTTAGTTTTGCTTTGCTATTTCGCATTGTAATGAATACTGGTACGGCGCATGTGACATCTGTTATGAGCGCGTTACCTGTAAATAAGACACACGAGATCCCACTGATTGCTGTTATCTCGGTATGATTTTGATACACATGTTGCTTGCGCTCGCAACACTGCCACCATTTCATTCTCATCGTCACATGTCACTAATTGTTAATCCGTCGTGACTTTCGGCCTCATCACAGATCCACGTACACGTGGCCTTCTAGTTCCATTCGTCTCATCTATTGTGGATCGCCTCGCCATCCTCGCGCACGCCTTGGCTAATGTTGCAAAGAAATCCGCTGGTCACACTGTATTTATCAATTGTGTGGCTGGACTGCTGGTTGTGGTACGTTTCTCTGTCTGTAATTTTGTCGAAGCCGCTGATAAATCTTGTGCTTGAATCTGAAACAATTCTCCCAACATAGCTTCCCTTATTCATGTAACTCGGTATATGCTAGGAAATTTCTCCTGTTTGGTAGCCTTTTTCTCTTTCGTCGCAATTTCATAGCACACTGCTATAGTATATATACCAGTGTTCGCCCCGTTCGAATGTGTGGCAGTGTCTAGGACAGGATTTCGTCCTCTAGTCAATCATCAACATTATTGTGGTCATTTCATCCTGAGCAAATGTAGACTAATGATCAGTCTGGCGTGACACTTGACCACCGATTCTACCCAACTTGCACTGGAGGCAGCTAATCACCAACCTTACACCCTGTTGGGTAAACTGCAAATATCTCTATCCTCTTAACATCATGCCTCGAAATCTTACTCCATTTGCTGACACTACCAAAGCTGTTAATTATACCAGACATGTTGCCTGCCGGCAATTTGAACACATCTATGAGCAGCTGGGCAGTAGAGTAAATGTTTTCGTTCGCTTACGATGATCATCAGGGTGCATATTCAAGCCTGGTTTTATTGTCTAATCTCTACACTCGGCGCAGGCAGACTCCACTGTTCTTCAGAAATAGCAATATTTTTCTTGTTGCTGTTTGGCACCCCCCGTTCCTCAAATGTGTGTTAATCGTTTGTTGTCCCGGTGGTCAAGTAAGGTGCTTATTTTTTATTAGCCACCCAGAATCATCATCATGTCGTTCATCTCTGGGATACTGGCATCCGCCTTTCTCCACAGCCTATCCCCAGTCGGGGAACCAATATCCATTATCCGGTAGCTGAATGTTACTTTTTCTTTCTTAAGAACCCGCTTTGTGCATCAACCACACTACAAACCCTTTCCTCCCATTACATGTTGCTTACTGTGTTCATCGTGAGGTTCTCTTTTTACTCTGCGATGCAGTTATTCGAACAGCCCTTTTTAACTCGCGAGGCTACTGCGGACAACTTGCTCCTTCTTTTGGCCGGTCTTTTTCAATTGGCATTAAGTACGTCCACGACGGAGAACGCGAACGCACTTCCGAATGCGCGCCGTGTAATGTTCCTGCGTTTGGTGCGCTTCATACTCACTCGTGTAGAGCCTACGATAGCTCTGAGGTTAGTTGAAATTCCTTGCCCAGTGACTGTTATACTGCTCACTACTTCCTTTTTTACGCTTTCCGGTTAGAGTCTATTCCAATGTACGACTGTCACTTTAAGCATATACAGATAAGGGCTCTCACTGTTACTTACGTATCGAGTGTTTTTTGTCGATTTTGACCTACAGATTGGTATATCGTTGGAGGTATATATGTCAAGATTCGAAACTATAAAGAGAGGATTTACATAACCCCTGCATGCATTTTTGAATATCCTGTAACCCATCGCTATACGCTTCGGCATGTGCATTGTATTTTTAAAGTTCGAAGTACTGTTGCATGGCTAGATCGATACACCACCGGTTCTAGCCATCACCGAAAATCCACTAGAAGTGGTGGATCAGTTCAGTTACTTTAGCAGTTGTGTCATCTGCGCTGGTCACCTCACTGAGGAGGTTACTTCGCGTGTCAGAAAGGCCCCAATACCTTTTTACGATTTAACCATTTATGGAGACAGTGGGATATCAACTTATCAGTGAAAGTAGGGGATATAATCAGTGTTACTGCATGCGTCAAACAATTGGCCTATCCGCGGTGAAGACATTAAACGTTTGACTGTTTGATCACGGTCGCTTGCGGTGTATTTCTCATATCTGGTTGAAGCGTCAAGTAGGCAGCGTTGAGGTCCGCCGGTTGGTTTTTGTTAGCTTACCTTCTGGTTCCTCACTCGAGTGTTTGCTGAATCTTAATCGTTTACTTTGGCTATGCCATGTACTCCGTATGCCCGTTGACCGCATTCTTTGGCATGCATCATATGCTATTGTTGCACCAAGTTGGGCGAAATCTCGAAGTGGCATGAAGGAATTGACCGAAGTGCTTGATCAGGATGATGCGTGCCGTATTCATGGATGGGAGCTTTGGGACGGCCTACCTCACTGGCTGGAGAGTCCATGGAACATGTCGCAGTCGCGTAGTCAGTGACGTTCCTGTATTCGCTTTCTTGCGTCCGATCAGTCTGACACATTGATAACTAAACTCCATTTTCGTTGTATTCTGTTTGCGTTCATAATTATTTTCTCTTTAGCGGTACCTTTCGCAGCCTTGACGACATGAGTCATGGCAACTGGATAACCCGCGCTTCGGTGCCCGGAGCATAGTTCCCTTACTGAACTGCATTAAATTGAGTATGACGACAGGATTCGGCGGGTGCGCGCTACTGACGAGTCCCAATAGGACGAAACGGCCGTCTAGCGATTTCCTGGATGTGTGCTGCCTGTCTGCCTGTGTTTAACTGCGACGAATCTACACAAAAAGACTGATAAATTCCCTTGCTACCTACAATGTCTACCAATTTACTCAGGTGTACAACCATCTTGTTCCTGCTTTTTTTCTGTTTTGCGCACCACAAATGTTATGCATAACGTACCGCTCGCTTGCTCGTTTTCTCCTTTCCATACCCTTTCTTATACCTTGAAAAATGCTTCCACTTCAGCACGGTGCTTCGCTTGTTATCGTTCACTACGTTTGGATTAGACTGTTGTACCTCGAATCCCATTGTGTTGCATCGGAGGACCACCACTCGCAGCTCTTCTGCCGGAGGTTCGCCGGAGCACTGTGAGGTGATTCGGGGACTGGCCTTATGTGACCGCATTCGCCAGCTAACCTTGGCCCAGCTGGATGCTCAGATATCGGAGTTCAACCATAACGGTAATGTCCTCACGCTGGATGCTCAACTGTGTCGCCTCCTTCTCATCTTTTTTTTCTGTTTTCCTCCCCGTCTTCCCTCCATTATTTAGTAATAAAGGCATAATTCGAGAGTATCAGGACCATCGAAAGCAATCACACCACCGACGCAATATACTACTCTAATTGGCGAATAAATTGTGACATACATGTTACATGAATAAGATTATCCAGTTTGGTTTGTTGCTGCACCTCATTTGATATTCTCTGGAGTGGGAAATATCATAAAGGCTGCTCGCGTCGTTTGGCTCCAATATTCATGAGCATTCCAGCTATACTCCAATGTTTCACTTATCTCTCGGATTAGTCAGCAGCACATGCGTTAGGAATTTCATTTATATGAACTCGTTAAATTAACACTTGAAACTAATTATCTCGATGCATGCATTTACGTTATGTAGGATCTCCCAATTTGCGGCTAATGATTTGGTGAGAGCCATCATGCCACCCTTCAGACAAATCCACTCACCTTGTGCCATACAGTGTGTACTCATATCTTTTCATTAACACACACTAAAGTAGCCTCTTCCCGATTTTCTAGTCTATTATGCTTGAGTCCCTCGACAATGTGACTTTATCATAGGGCTTGCAGGGAGCCTGGCGTGGTCTTATAAGTGGCTGGTGGATGTCCTCCAGCTCAGCTATTAAGATATCTCCATATTTTTCTGTTAGCTTTCAAATTTATAACCGTTCGCAGCCTATGCGCCAGGTTCATGGTCCCATCTTTGCCGGTGACTCACTCTTGGGGCCTGACTTCCAACTCGATTTGGTTACTGCTAATGGTGGGTGCTTATATTTATGGCTTACACATTGTACTCAATCCCAGACGCATTGTCAGCATCAGCGTCATTACACATTAGCTAAGGATGAGGAACACCTAAACTGTTGCACCGCATTACAAAATACTAAGATATATGAAAAGCGAGATAAACTTCAACGAATACCAAATGTAAGCAAAAAGTAAGTAATACAATGCTTGTTGTCCTATTACGCATTGAGTTTGAAACCGTAGTTGGAAAGGGAAACTAAGCGAGAGGTGTCGGACAACGCCGCTGAGGTCGGCGCTTGAGCATGTCAACGGATGTATTCAACCAGGCGTATTCATCGCCTGGAGACCCCAGCCCATAAATCAGGAGGCACCAACTGACGTCAACTTTGAAGCGAGAATTTTTATTCCTTTTGGTTGTCATCAGTTTGCCTCCTTTTCTTCCATCCAGATTCTGGTCGCGCAAATAACGTACGTCGCTGGCGTTGGTGCGCCGTAATGCGCAACACATGACCAAACCATCGGAGCCTCGTGCTTGAAATAACTGTGCTGACCCGTTCGCATGCTTTTCCTGTACGAATTACGTGACGCTGAATACGCTCATTGCTCACGTCGTGTTCCCCCCAAACGTGCTAAAACGCGAAGGCGGCGATGGTCGAACTTAAATAACCTCTGTATATTTGTTAATCTAAGGGGACAGGTTTCACTGTCGTACAGGAGGGTTGAACGCACAGCTGCGTTGTGAACTCTATCCCTCAAGGTGAAAGCGATATCGCGGTGTCGCCTCGTACCTTCACTAAACTGTTCGTCACCTCATCTTCCATCTTGTAAACGCTGCTACAGCCGCCTAGGTGGTTGAATTCCTGAACGACTTTTAACTGATCACCGCTAAGTGTCGATACAGGGGTGATTCCTTACCAAACTTGGAGAGAGACTTTGCATTCAGAGGGTGCAAAGCGCAACCCGAAACCAATGACATCCATTGCTATTTCTTCTCGTGCTTCCTAACACTTTCATGAACTGTTACAGATTATAGCAATCTCATCCGCATACTCCAATGCAGGCAGTCTATCACTTGGGACCAACTCCAACACCTTCCAAATCATACCTAATGAATGCAGTTTCCATGACTTCGTCAGTTACGAAGTTAAAACGAAGGGTGACACTGCTAGAAATGTTGAAGGACAGCCACAGTTTACCATAAGCCCTGACTATGGCCGAGCATTGCGTGTACGACAATCACATCTTTCTCGAGCGCATCTTTTCTTAGCAGACAGTTTCAAAGGGCACATGGAACACGACTACAGTGGGTTGCCATGAACATGGCAGCATTCCAGCAATTGATGTAATTAACAATATGGCCCATACAGCCCTGATTTCGATGAAACGCGGCTCGCTCCTCTCGAATCTGGCCTTCACAGGTGTCCATCGATCTATGGAGAACGGTAGGAGCAGGCAACTTAAAGACAATTGAGTTCAGACGTACCCCTCTATTATTTCACATTCCGAACGTGTCTCCCACGAAAATTAAGACCAACGGTGCGATTGTAGTCTGGCAGAACCGTCTCCTGCTCCCATAGCTTCACTAGTAAGTTGTGCAAGTCACCCACAAGAGTTCCTCCCCAGAATTCGAAAAGGACTGTGCTGAACTTTAAAATATCAAGAATCCTCCTGCTCATTAGTAGTTTAAGCATTCACTATCACAGTCTTCAAATGCTTTGCAGACATAGCTATTGTGTACTGGATTTCGTAACCCCTTAGGCCAGCCACTCTACTCTACAATGGTAAGACCTAGATGGTCATCTGGTTCCTCTTTAAATACCACAAGAGTTGGTAAGGTGCTGTGTCTAAGGCAATGTAACCGGGTATATGGTCATTGACCACTCACTTCTGGTCACAGAAGTGAGTACTTAACGGAGGGCGGATGTACAAAGTCGATAACCATCGGCCTCTTTGAATGCAGATGAGCCACCTGGCTGTCAACGACCTTCGTACTTGGCGGCAAGTTCGGTAGTCCAGGGAATTCTGGCCTTGTTGCTTCACTCGGGCTCTATGAGCCTCCTGAGTAGTTTGCCTCTACACGAAAGCCGTTTTATCCTCACCTAGATAGCTGGCTCCCAACGGTTCGCGGTATACGTCAATCGCCCCGCTGCCTTGCGGGTTAGGTCTTTTATGACCCAAAGCTCGGGTCAAACCTCTTCCTCAACCTGAGTACCATGTCCACAAAATCTACGGATCCATGTATCAACAACTCTCCGCTCTCTGCTCTCACTCTCTCGAACTGCTCTCTTCGGCCGAGATGCTGACGGCTGAAACTGTCAAACCGCGTTTCACTGTACCACCGTTTATTCCACTCTTATTCAACCCCCCATTCTTGGTCTTCCCCCTCCGTTTCGGAGTTCGCAACACCACGCTACCTTGGGCGAACGTTCTTGTCATCCAGATGAGGAGCCTAGGTCCGTGGATGCGCCAACTCGTGATGACAAGCCATTTCTAGCGCCCTGCTCTCAATTCGAGCTGGAAACCTTCAATTTTTGGACGCTGATGCAGTTTGGATCACAGGCAGCCATTGCACGCACTTTAGAAACTACCTACATTGTTGTCTGCCGTCTTAGCGACACGCGATTACAGGACTCTCGCACGACGCTATGACTAGTTTCACTATCTGCGATTTCCGCTGGCATTTTCACTTCGCGCCTATCTGTGGATCCAACCGCCCAACCCGCTGGTTATGCTGGATTGGGGATTGCGTTATGCACACATGCTGAGGCCGCGCTACTGGACTGGATCCCTGTCAACTGTTGACTCTGCACGATCCCACTTGAAACCGCAGTGCGACTGTGTAGGCGCGAAGCCAGCAGACGCCTTCCATTGTCACAGCTTGCGCCCCCACAGACTGCAGCTCGGAGCCAGTTAAGGACGAGTTTTATGGTCAACTGACCGATCTTCTCCGTAAAAACTGCCGCACCGAAATCGTGGTACTCGCTGGAGGCTTGAGTCCGCAGGTCGGTAGACTTGCAGTTAACGAACGTGAACTTGGTGGTCAACACGACCATGGCACTCGCAGAACAAACAACGTTGGTCGCCTACTTCAGCTCTGCGCTGATCGCGGCCTCTTTCTGTTGAGCACTAGCTTTCGTGGATCCTGGCGCCAATGCGCTACCTGAAGACCCTCATCACCTGGCCAGCCTTAGACAAAAATTGACCACATCGCCATTAGCTATTGCTGGTAAGGCTGCATACAGGATTGAAAATCAATCTGGAGCACCTATCTCACCTTGTATCACGCGCTAGTGTCTTCCAAGGACGCTCTACGTTTTTAAGGCACCCAATAGCGTCGCCAGAAACGGCTTGACGTTGCTACGCTTTCTGCCCCGTACGTTCTCCGCGCATTTCAGTATGCTTTCACCCCAAGGCTGGAGGCTGCTTGATGCACAGACATGGGAACAGATTGGACACACATCCGCGGCGCCATGTACAACTCTACACCCCCGGTCTATGGCTTTACCAGTAGTCCTGTCAACCATTGGACCTGCGCACAATCCCTCCAACTTCTGAAGCCCCTCGTGCAATTCCTGCTTACGTTAAATACCAATCACTACACAAGGTTACTAACGCTGAGCTCAAATAGTTTCTTCAGGAAGATCGCGAGGCCTGGTGGACGCAGAGGGTCATTGCAATAGAGCAAGCGAATACGGGGAATGTGCGTAAGATTTTCCTCCTGATCTGATATACTGGCAGCAGAAGGCCTACTGTAAGCGAACTTTTACGCAATACCAATGGCGAGGCAATCCATTGTCAACAAATGCCGACTTGAACGTTGGGCCGGCCATTTTGAGAAGCAGTTCAATTGACCAGCAATACCTATGAGTTCCCATTCTGGAACCCAGACTGCTCCTTGTTATGTAAACAATTTACCGCCATCTGAGGCCGAAGCCGCCCATAAGCTTCACCTCTTAAGGCGCTACAAAGCCCCTGTCCTAGATGAACTCCCTCCAGCTATTTTCATAGATGGCGGCCCATTACATTTTCGGAAGTTAACTTCCATCCTCCAAGGAACTTTGGTCACTATAGTTGTCACATTTGATTGGAGCCTAGCGGATATCGTGCCCGTTTTCAGAAAGGTAACCTGAACTGACAACGCCAACGATAAATGGATGTGTCTCAGCTGTGTTACTTCCAAGGTGTTCGCCGCTGT